GATTTTGGAGACGTGCTTGTTTTTAACAATTAAATAATTCTGAGATGATCGATTAAAATCTGGCGTGTATAAATCAAGTTTTACCGAGACAATTTTCTTATAAAAAATTTTTATTTAGGAGACAATGTTTAAGTTATATCCAGCATAAGCAAGTGCATATTTCCTTATAATTCTGGAACCATACATTAAAACTATTTTCGGTTCGATATTATAGAGCGGAAATTCACAAATTATTGAAAGGTTAAAGAATTCCTTTGGAAATCACATCCATTGTAATTTCTGCGCTGTTCAATGAATGAATTGAGAAATATTGCTGATTCAGGGAAATCAGGCAATGTTAAAAAGAGCTCTATAAATGCTAGAATGGACCTGAATCTGCATCGTACGAGTTTTGTTAATTGATATAGTATACGAATAAAGGCCTGTTATCGATGTATTCCGAGTCTCTATGGGCTTATTATTGCTCATATTCATCATGAGGAATTTTCCCCAGTAAAGGAAAGAGTCATTTAGAGACTATATCGTATATATTTGGTTATCCCAATAGTCCATGGACCCGCATCTAAATCAATACTGTCGCATTATACGACAACAAGAGCCGCATACTTGGGTTTCATCAGCAGAGTAAACATTTGAAGTAAACAATTGAAGTATTATGAAAACCCGAATGCACAATATCTAACATTCGATGTACTTATTTCTTGTTTTCTCTTTTTTATTCAAGCAAAAAGCGCAAAGTAAACAAAGGGGGGTAACTATTGTTTTACCAATCGGATGCAAATTGTTCAAATCCGCCCATTATTATCATAATCCAACCTTAAGTCACCTTATCTACTTCAACACAAAGGCTTTTAGTTTTATCACGGCAATCCGGTAGCAATCATGTTTGTTTGCATTCAAATCAATGTTGTCCACAGGTAGAAACAAATGTCAACACGATTTGGAGAAATAACAAACAGAAAAGCAGATGACACTGCGATGCAGACGACAATTTCAGAACCACAGCAATGACAGTTTCCACGCTGATATCAAAAAAATTATGCTGAAGTTCCTATGGTTTTGAAATTATTATATCAGCAAAGGGCTAAAAATAATAGATCTATGTTTTTAAAAGTAACTGAATTATTTTGAATGCGATATCAACCATAATACTGGAAATAATATTTACACTATTATCATAAATTACAACTTCGTTTGATTTTGTTTTCTATATATCTGTGTTCTGTTCAAACAATTCCTCTAACTTATGTAAAGTATGGCGTGCGTGATTCAAATATGAAACTCAAATATGTTACTTTTAATTTAACTTAATGAAAAATGCACACATTTTGTGTTTATTTCTTTGAAGTTCATATACTTTGTGATTCAAGAACAAAGACTACGAAGTTTCAACATATGTTGCATAAAGCTTGTCACGTGACCGACAGCTTGTACCAGTTTTGATTTTAAAATTAATCTTTTTTTTCAATTTTAGTAAAGGAAAACTTAATATTTCATTTGATAAAAAAAATGCGGTCTCTTTGCTGGCGAGATTAATCTATGTAACATACATTTCCGTTATGCTGAAGGTTTATTGAAAAGTTAACAAATAACAAAATAACCGGGAACAGATTGTCTTATTTACACAACAAGAGGTGTTTTTCATATTATTATTTACGGAGGAGTTTGTATGAGAATTAATCCTAACATATTAACAGTAGCTGTATTTTATTAACCACATTAAATGCAACAATTTTAAAATAAACTCTGAAAACCTACATTTTACCACTTTAAACATTGAAAATCTACCTTTAAAATAAACTCAAATATTGTATGACAGTTTATAGTATAGAACTATGTGCTGACAGCTGTTTAAACTTCTCAAAAATAAAAGAGACACTAAGGATAGGCAATAAATTTAATACACATAACAGATATGAATTAAACTTAAAATTATCAATATTATAATTATGTAACTATAAGTCATTTAAACTTGTATGTATTTAATGTTGTTTTTGTTATAGTTTGCTATTTTATTTTAAAAGAGAATTATACACACAAACAGGTGGGTTTTACACGAGACAATTGTTAATATATACATACACAAATTAAAATAAACATAACCAATTATAACGTATTTATTTATTTATTAGACCGGAAACGCATTTCCCGCATTATATATCGTTTAAGATGTGCACTATTTTTGTTACATAAAAAGCGATGATTTGCTCTAATTTACCCCAATTATCTTTTCAAAACATGTGGGTCTTTGTGTTTTTGGGTGGATGGCAGACGATAATTTTAGCAAGTTCGCCAGACGACATCGCTAACAAAAAGTATTCGTAAAGGGAAACAGCTGTTCAGTTTCGTTTGGTACAACTTTCCCATCTGTCGTACAAACGCGCGTAAATAAAGTTTACACATTTTTCGGTAGCTACACAAAGAGCCTTATCTTCGACCCCCTGGCCCCTTTTTAACAAGTGAAGCGTGTAAAATTCAACACACATTTCGAAAAGTCCCAATTTCCTTTTCCCTTGTGAAAAAGTCGCTTTTTATACAATGATGGTGTTTTTATTTCTATTGTTAAAATTTGTTTCAAATTTTTCAATAGAAATTTAAACCCCAGCGACCGCCCTGTCTATCCCGTTTCAGCAATAGGTGACCTTGTTTAACATTCTATTATTAACAAAGATACAAAGGTTTACTAATATCTTTTGATGGTTTAAACGATAAAATAGTTTGATATGCATTTTATAATATTTCTGCATAAACTGTAACAGCGAGCCACTTTGTTCTTCTTTATACGTTAATTATATACATGTATGATAAATCATAAACATTTTGTGGTAATCCCACTTATCGATGACGTAATAAAATCAACATAAATAAACGCTAAAATATTGTAACGAATATATGCGATATTTATGTGCTAATTAGCATATTTATTTGGATGATTGTGAAATAACAGAAAGTTGGAATCGATCAATATGATTCCATTCCCTTGTTGTTTACAAATCATTGAGTGTACGTTTATAGCTGAATACACTGAACTTATTCCTTCCTGAATTATTTATGATCCGCCAATATTAGTAATAGATATTGTATATTAACAATCTGTTTGGAAAGGTTACGCTATTGTTGAAAACAGAAAAAAATAAACACACAATGCATAGGGCCTGCACCTGAATATTTTAATGTAATACAAATTACTATCAGTCTAAACAGATTCACAACCATTGTCTGGTTATGTTGATGCCAAATATGCCAGCAATCCTTATACATTCACCAGTACCTGTCTAAAAGACATCTAAACAATTAATGTCAAGTTTCGTCAAGATCAGCTTACTTCATATTAGCCTGATAATTACAGGCATCAATAATCTCAGATATTTATTGCAAGTTTCATAAGAATCTGCTCATGAAACGACAACCTGTTCAATGTAGAGGTTAATAAGCTAAGATATTTATTGCAAGTTTCATCATCATATGTTCATCAAAACAGCAAGCCTACCGGGCTTATCAGTCGCTGATCATGTTATGATAGCGATTTATTATGATATACCTGCTCCGAAGGCTTATCAGCATTGAGATGATTGATAAAAGATTTTTCTTTCCTGGGCATTAAGTCATCTTACATGATGTGTTATCACTCTAATTATATAATGATACACTAGATTAGGTAAATCAAAACCATTAAATAATTTCCCTCTTGAATGATTTTCAGTTTCGTTTTTGATTTTCTGATTATGCTAACATGCTCCGGATGAAATGTTACTCAAGTTCAGAACTGGGATGGATGATTCTATATTTCATTATATTCGGCTTCTTCTATGGATCTAATCGATACATTTTACATCATATAATATTTTATTGTCATAACTTTGGCTACACACATTGTAAGTAACATTTGGAAGAAAGTTGTCCCATTTTCCCGTAAAATATTCCATATAATTATATTTCATTGATATATACAATTTAGCTTAGTAAAATGAGGGTTCTGGTAAAATCGTACTGACAATACATTTGAAAAACGGGAAAATTGTTTGTCTTAACTATTCTTGGAATAGAAGCATCTCTATGTTCTTTTACCAAAATATTGCAAAAAGTATCTGAAAATTTTGAACAAGTATTTAATGCGTAAATTGGAATCTAGTTGTAACAAAACAGTCATTAATTGGAAACCGTACTTCATTTTTCACTTTTCCTATCAGCCGATAGTTTGATAACTTTGCTGGCGGAATTAGCAAAACTTTAAAAATAAATGCATTCTTGAAATTCATGTAAAACTATTCTTAGAAAAACAGTCAGCGTATGTGCATGCAGTTTTGTAAGAATAATCCAGTATTCTGTTCTATGTAAATTTCGGCGTGTAATTCGCGACGACAAGCCTACCAGGGGCTTATCAGTAGCATGCATCTTGTTAATTTTAGTGCTACTGGATAGTCTAATGTTTAGAAGTTTCGAGTTACACACACACACAGTAGTAGTGGTTTTATGCTGAAAATAATGGCGGGATAAATGTGTAACATTCTAGTTTTGTTCGCCTGTTCTTTAATATATAGCATTTCGCCTTTTTTCCCCTCTTAATATAGATAGCTAGATATCACCACCGCTGATTTTAAACACATTTTAACATTTTACGTTGAGATCATATGTGGTAAAAAAAGAAGTTTAAGTTAAAGTTTTAACTTTCATTCTAACATAGCAAATTAATTTTATATTGCCGATTACTACAGGGTATCTAAATTTCATAAGCACTATCAATACCTTTAACATATGACAGCGTTTATGAAATAGCTAAGTTTTAGAATTTAACCGCTTTAAAATAATATCCACATAACACAGGAAATTAGAGGAAAAACCCCTCATTTAAGACAATGGTTATATATGCCACAAGTACATTTTACATTCACAACAACAGCAAAACCACGTATTATAACGGTGAGAAATCAAAAGTAAATAAAATAAAAATTAAATAATAATTAAATAAAAATAAACAATTAAATAAAACAAATACATACCATCACCGGCCACCATGTTTGTAGTTTATCTAAGTGAATTTAGGACACTAAAATATAGCACTTGTGCTCAAAAAGTAACAAATATATAACACTAAGTATAAAATATTATATACACGAAATAACGTATATATAAATTTTTACTGTACACACTCAAAAAGTATAAAAACGTCAATATATATTTTTTCAAATATTTTTTTTCTAAACTGATAAAAAGTCTCTTTTATGTTAATATATATTCACAACAACGTCACAGGTTTACAACACTGACCGTACACGACATGTAAAATTCCTTTCTGTGCTGGGAATTCTTAGAGTTTCCAATATTTATACGCTATGGTCTAAGCGATTCTGATGCCTGTGTTTTTCTCACGTTACACAGAAGCCAGGCGCGAGAGTGCGAACGCAAATCCATTATGGAGTTAATGAGCGCTTGGAACGCTCGGATGAATCTGTCAATAGGTGAACAAAAGAATGCTGGAGGTTTAAACACCCCCGCGGGTGCGAAATGGAATGATCCGCTGCAGACGAAATCGGAATAATAGATTTTATTTGATTTTTTTTGTGTTTGAATTGATTTCATTTCTTTTGTTAAAATTTGAGGTCACATTTGATAGAAGAGGGAGTGAATGTGTAATCTTTTTTAAGGTGTACCCGATTAAATTAAATACACACACACAGAGCATAAACAGCAATTTAAAATTTATTTAAACTGATAAAAAGATAAACTCAGATTTTATCTGTCATACTACAAAAACTAACTTTCTAAATTTTTCGATTCATTTGAGTAAACACACGGTGCATGACAAAGGTAAATTTTGGTTTGAAACGGGACACATTAGGTTTAAATCATCTTCAAATAAATGCACTAAATTATCTGACCACGTGACTCCTGCTTTCGTGTGATAATTTGAATTATTAAGATTATTTCAATTTAATTGTATGTAAATGTCATTCTTATAACAAAGTAACATTTTTAAATGTTTTAATTTATTAAATGAAAGACACTTACAGAAAGGGTTTTACCATCTTCAAATATTTTCTTTGTGATTAAGTTGGTAACTTTTCTTATTCCAGAAAGCGTGAAAACCATGTGCAAAAAGTAGGTCTGATATATAAGTCACGCGGTTGGTTTAGATTATATGGCCCAAAGGCTTAGACAGATGTTTTCAAAAAAGTAAATATAATTGATCAAATAATCAACATGCAAAACTAATAATATCTTGACAAGAACGTCCTTATTCGGGTCAGAAATACGTCAAATTTAAACCGGTACATTTTCAAAATGTATTTTACATACTTTTATTGAATGTTATTATACTTCTGTATAACTTAACATCGACAATTAGTATGGTGGCTGAAGTATTTCTGTACCCAAACTTGACGGGAGTGAAAGAGTGTGCCGTAAGATATAAATATAAATATACATATATACAGGGTGTGTACATAATTTGCTGCAACGAAAGAACAGAAAAAATGTGAACTATTATTAACTGAAAAGGAAAAATAAATAATTGAAAAAATGTGAATAAAAGTTGCGACTGACACTGAAAAATAAAAATGAAAATAAAGTGAATTAAAGTGAGCTATATGACGTCATCAGTCTTACCATGTTTTGCAGGGTCACGTTCTAAAATTAGAAACAATAAAAAACATTTCAACAAGTTAAATATACTACATATACTTTTTATACATGTATATCTACAGTGATGTCTTAACTCCTTCTTTTTTTGCAAAAGGAATGTAAAAAAAAATCAATCGAGACAGACAGTCGGACGGACTTCATAGAGATCGTTACATTTAATTGAAACAAACATTTGTTTTCGAAATAGGTTCTACATTTACAATGGCAGCGAACTTCATGTCTGTTTATTGTTACTAGGAAACCATTTAAAATACTTATGTAACTTTATGCTTATAAATGACTGTAAAACAGAAAACATAACTTTACATGTTAATTAAAGGCCCATTATACCTCAGAAATGCTATCATTTTTATTTCTCAAACTTTTTTTAAATTTTGGTATCTTGACACAATTTCTAAAAAAACAAAAAAAAAACAAACAAAAAACTTTATATTCATAAACTATCTTTTGCTGATTTTGTTATATTGGCATTTGGTATAATTATAATGAATTAGTATTTCGTATGGGAGTGAAAATACTACTTTGTTTACATTTTGTTACATTTACGACAAATTACACATTACTGCATGTTCAGCAATTTTTCTCTTCAGTTGATACTTTTAGTCATTTATCAAAACATAATGAAATGCATGAAGTACATATTTAAAGAATTAAAACAAAATCTGGATTTCGGAGGCATAATGTGCCTTTTAAGTAAAATATCAGTACTTTCATTGTTGTTACTTTATTCAAATGTTGAAACACGACCATCTTACGGAAATATCCAGAAAGGTTATTTGAACAATAATCGTAAACATTTTATTCACTTCTCCTTTCACCGAGGCAATTAGTGGGTATATTTTAAGATTACACTCTCAGGAAAATTGTATAATCGTTGTTTTTATACCACATACTCTGACAGCTGCATCCCTACCTCACAAAAATTCATTGAAGATTTTATGCATTCTACTAAAGTTTCTACACGCATGCCCTGTTTTTACCTTCTCGTGGTTAACGTAATTATATCAAAATGCCGTATAGTTCTGATATATATTTTTTTATTTATTATAATTACATACTATCAGTTTTGATGTCTCATTATATTTATACTTTATGATACATTACTGATCACATTTGATATGTCACTTTCATCCCCCCCCCCCCCTAAATCAGCAGCTTTAGAAATCTGCAGCATTATTGTTTTAAGTTCAATAGGGAACACTATGCATGTGTTATGCCTGATTGGGTTGCGCTGGGGGACAAATAGTAGATCAGGAATCACAAATAAAACATGTATTTTTGATATACCCGTTTTCATAAAAACGAATCTGAATACATATCAATAGAAATTTACGAAACACGAAACACGACCTACTTCTATAAAAAGAGAAGTCTTTTAATCAAAATGAACATGGAAAAGGTGGGTGGGGGTACATATTTGTTCTTGCTGATGTTAAGAGGATTTTTTCTTTGAAAATAAAAGCAAAACCAGTTATGTGCCAGAATTGTACAAGTAATACACTAAAATTTGGAACACAACAGAATTGTCCAAGTCAAATAATCTGTAATCAAATGAACACAAAGAGAATCCGTTCTCATCCAAACAAAGGCTCAACCGGGTGAATAGAAATAATCAGTGTTATCAGAATTTCCAATAAGCTTCAGTTCATGGAAGGATTGATCTTGTAAACAAAATCAATGTCTACAGCACTATTTGATTGAACTGTGAAATATTGGGCGAAATATTGATTTATCCGAATCTGATGTCATCACCTTGCGTTCGCATGCCAGGCGCTTGTCGTTTATTTGAACACCGTGGACTTGACAGTCTACATAGCGCGCGGCTGATGTTGATCACACTAACATGACCACGTGACAGCAGACACCTGTCGTTCTACAAAAATGCTACATCGTAAATATACGTAATATTGAATAAATTTTAAATTGGTTTTGCGATGACCAATTATGAGTACGCGTTGACAATTCGCACCATAATCATCTTTTCATCAAGTCGTTAAGTTGTAAAAATCAATGACTGTAAAATCGGTTTATATGCCGTGATACAAAAAAGGGGAAAAAGCCCGTCTTTGTTTACTTCTAATATCTGTTTATGGGTAACCCAGTATTTCTCTCTAACAGCTTATTTAGACACGACTGATAACCGATTTATTGTACAATAAGGAAATATGGGATAGATCGTTTAATAAAGCATTAAACAATAATTCCATCGCTTAATGCAAGAATTAATGACAATACCAAATGAAACGAAAAGTAATTTCCTTCTGTCATTGCCATTCACTCATAATGCATGCTAAATACTAGGCCTATTGGTTCATTTTTATGTTGTTGTTGTTTTATTTTTGTTGTTACTATCATGCTTTTATTTTTTTATTTTCAAAAAACTCGTATAAAAAAATTAAACTAGTCATGTTTCAAATGCATGCTAACTAATGTATAACCTAACCAGTGAATCAATTCTCGGTCTGTCTTGATAATATTTTAGACCGTTTCTCCAGTGAAACCGTGACAGATGGTAGCCGGCTAGAATTCCTATGTTCCCCGGCTGCCCTTGTGTTAGAAAATACCGTTAGTTGTGTCCGCACCTGTCCCCTAATTCTTTCATCTTTTCCGTCCACGACCAAGACCAGCTGTCGATATAACAGTAAGAATACCGCTAGTTTTCTTTTGTCTAAAAAGACAGCGTACTAGTACCAGCTATTCGGTGTCCAATTCTACTTTTGTTAATAGTTTTCAGCTCACTTCCTCTATTCCTCTTCGTCTTAAAGAAAATTTATTCAAGATGTCCTTGTTAGAAAAAAATAATGTTGAATCTCCATAAGGATCAGGCATAATTATGAGTTTAATGAAATTGTAGCAAGACCAGTGTACTGCGATGACCAGGCTTCAATTCCAGGCATGCGTGCACGTGCCACATGAATATAACACGTGGTAAGCATGTGTATTAATTAAAAAGTTGGTTAAACAGGAGATAAAGGACGAAAATCCCTACAATTCCCATCCCTAAAGCTAATCGGATCAGTTCTGATCTTATAGTAATATGGATACTAATTGACTAAAAATCGTCGCCATGGCAACCAGGGTAATTAATTCTACATTGATTTTTGCCTCTAAAAATAAATGCGCCTCGTGGACAACTGTCAAGGAGCTTCTGGAAATGGTCAAGACACTAGTGCCTCAGAGCAATTTTCTTTGACAAATTTGTATAATACAATGCCCGGTTTTTCTATGAATCTAAAATATTGCTAAAACCGACTTTTCTGAAATTGTTGTTCTCTCTGATTACTCGGAGAAGTTGTCACTAACTGGTTTGTACTAGAATTTGAAAGTCAAGAAACAGTTATAAGTTAACTGCCCGATGGTCTAGATGTCTGAAATTTCCTAGTAACAAAGAGAAACAAACACAGGTTCTTAACACAACATATGATTTTTAAAAATAAAAATGTGCCGCTGAAATATTTCATAATACAATAACATTAGTAACGCTATGACACATATTTTTGCTGTGCCTATTCTTATGTTTAAATAGTTTAAAGGCACAATAAGCCACCATGCTATTTTTTAAAATCTTTTTATTTTTGATGTTCTGATAGAGTTTCCAAGGTACTCATTTACCGATGTCGCTGAACATTCTTTTGCTATTTGTTTATAAGTCAAATGACAGTGGTTTGGTATTTCGTATGTATAGTAATATCACTTTGTACATGCATACATACGTTTTGCTGCTCTATTGGCAATATA